AAAAATCTTAGGCCTACCATTAAAAGCCGTGGTTGCACAGGTTCTGCGTGATCCTCTTCACTAATATCCTCTGCGTCTCAATCGGGCTCAAATTGATAAGCAATATAGACGACGTCATTATTTACAATACAACCGGAGCACATGTTGAGGAGCGGGACGTTTAGACGCGGGTTTAGCCAATCACAACACACTGGGCCAGCTAATCAATCAGAGCCCATCGTGTATTTCTGAGGGAGGGGCTTCATAAAAGCAGGAAATGATCAGCGCGTTCAGAGGAGAAGGGACAGAGGTGTGTGCAATAAAGGTAAATTATGTGAAAAATTATGCGTTTTTTAACAAACGAAGCATTAACACATGTTAGACTGCACCCCATAAACACAATCAAGCCTATAAAAAAAACAGTCAACCACCCCTTTAATGAAATACTATTGGAGTATTTTAGTATTGGCCTGACTCTGTAAAAGTGCATTAGTTCAAACCAGGGATATTATCGCTAACTAAAACCGTAAATAAAACTACAACCATATTTCAGCTACCCAAGGCAATGGTTCTCATTTTTTATTTAGTTTGTTGAAGTAAACTGAATAACTTAAAAATAACTGAAATAACTAAAACTAAATTAAGTAAAACTAATAAATAAAAATTCATGAATACTGAAAAAACGAATAAATAAAAATTCATGAATACTATATAAACCTCTTTAAAAAAAAATACTAAAACTTTAGCTTTGGAATTGGACATTAAAACTTAAAAATTAAATCTAATTCAATAAGTATAATAGTAACATTACGCTGGTTCAAGCACTGTTAAAGGGTTAGTTCACCCAAAAATGAAAATTCTGTCATTAATTACTCACCCTCATGACGTTCTAAACCCGTAAGACCTTTGTTCATCTTCGGAACACAAATTAAGATATTTTTGATGAATTCTGAGAGCTCTCTGACCCTCCCATAGACAGCAGTGTAATTAACACGATCAAGGTCCAGAAACGTAGCAAGGAGATCGGTAAAATAATCCATGTGACATCAGGGGTTCAACCGTAATTTTACGAAGCTACGAGAATACTTTTTGTACGCAAAGAAAACAAAAATGACTTTATTCAACAATTCGTCTCCTCCGCGTCACCCTGGTGCCATTTTGGAGAGTACACAATAAATTTAAACAAAAATAAAAGGTAATTTATATACAAAAAAAACACTTGTCATTTCCCAAGCCTAGCTGTAAAGCAGGAATGTTCTGCCATTCCCCTCTTAGGTGACTGTTGTGAGAGGGGAAGCAGCTTTCACACAGGAGTCCGCTACTGAATCATAGTCAGCTCTACTGCCTTTCCTTTTGCATTGAAATCTTTATTACAAGCAAGCCTGCGGTTCATAAAGAACTTTGTTTTACTACGTCCACGAGTGCCATCTGTTATTGCCTTGTTTATCTAAAAGTGCTCTTTCCCTTTAAACCTAGCCAAAAAGCCATATGTGTTGACTGTGAAACACAGGAGACTTTAATAATATGCATTTATGATGTAATTACTAAATTTTCGTGTCAATCCATGTTCATATTTACTGCAAAAAATGCGGAAACTCCTGGAACGCACTGCCGCACCGCAACGGTGTGCAGTGTGAATGCTTTAATCCGTTAACATGAGCACGGAAAAAATACGCACCACATATGCACTGCAAACAGAGTAATGTGAACCTGGCATTATGTGTGTGCGCTGCGAGTGTGCATGAGCGCTCGGTCTCCAGTCTCCGGTCGAGCGCTGAATGGTTAAACACTGGCAAGAATTAAAAAG